ACTGCAGTCTAGCCAGGGTGGCAGAGTGAAACTCTGTCTCTGGGAGGTGGCGGGGGAAAGGAAGATGAGAACTATTAAACAAATGGAGCCACTTGAAAAAGCTTAGCTAGACAACTCTGCAGATTGGTTTGCAAGGATATCTATACTAGCTGCTTTTTCCCTCGCTGATTAATTTCACCTTAGCCCTAAGTGTGAATGTCCACTGTTGTTTTTGGAGTAAAACTGAGGCTCTGGTTTCCAAATCTACCATAAAATTAGTTTATTTATTTCTATAATCCTAGCCTGTCAAAGATGTTTGCTTTATTTTCTTCCTGCTTTTGAGTAGCTAAAGTCCATCTTAGGTGTCATCGAAATGGCATGCCCTGCAGTTCTGCTGAAACAAAGCAAGAAATTTAAAAGAGAAATGTGATTCAGATGAAGGTAGACAAAAGTCTAGCTTACTGTGTTGCAGGTTTACTTAATTCAGCTGTATAAATGCCTGGGTTTGCTTCTGACAGCGCTTCTGTTTCTTTGCATAATATCTAGCTTCGCTGTCATGATGTAACCAGTATATAATGCACTAAAATACCAGGTGATGGTATTGAACCCAGGTGAATCATTCCAAATTGCTAGATTCTGTAACATCATTTTAATTTTAAATGCCTTCTTAAACACAGTCACCCTCAAATTACGGACTTTTAGAATAATAGTACTTAATCACAGGTACTTCAGGTAAAATACACAAAAATCATGCTACACTTGTAGATCTTGTGCATTTACACAGAACTCTCAAACTCTGCAGCTGCTTTACCAACTAAGTTTATCTAATATTCTAAGTCCTTTGTTGTCATTTTACCAATGTACACAGCATCCTCACCAGGAGTAGATTCCGTCTTAAGAAACCACTTTCTTTGCTCATCCATAAGAAGCAACTCCTTATTCGTTACAGTTTTATCATGTGATTGCAACAATTTAATCACATCTTCAGGCTCTACTTTTCATTCTAGTTCTCTTGCTATTTCTACCACATCTGTAGTGACTTCCTCCACTGAAGTCTTGAACTCCTCAAAGTCCTCCATTAGGATAGGAATCAACTTCTTCCGAACTCCTACTAATCTTGATATTTTGACCACTTTCCATGAATCACAAATGTCCTTAATGACATCTAGAATGGTGAAGCCTTTTGAGAAGGTTTTTAATTTACTTTACCCAGATCCATCAGAGGAATTACTATTTATGGCAGTTATAGCCTTATGAAATGTATTTTTTAAATAATAGGACTTGAAAGTAGAAATTACTCCTGTGTCTATGGGTTACACAATGGATGTTGTGTTAGCAGGCATGAAAACATTCATCTCCTTGTGCATCTCCATCAGAGCTCTTGGGTGACCAGGTGCATTGTCAATGAGCAGTAATATTTTGAAAGGACTCTTTTTTCCTGAGCAGTAGGTCTCAACACTGGGCTTAAAATATTCAGCAAACCATCCTGTAAACAGATGTGCTATTATGTAGGCTTTGTTGTTCCATTGATAGACACAGGCAAAGTAGATTTAGCATAATTCTTAAGAGCCCTAGGATTTTTAGAATGATAAATGAGCTTCAACTTAGAGTCACCAGCTAACAAGAGAGTCAGCCTGTCCTTGGAAACTTTGAGGCTAGTCATTTACTTCTCCTGCCTAGCAATGAAAGTCCTAAATTTTAGCTATCTCCTTCCAATAGAAGGCTGTTTTTTCTACATTGAAAATCTGTTATTTAGTATAACCACCTTTATTAATGATCTTAGCTAGATCTTCTGGATAACTTACTGCAGATTCTACATTGGCACTTGCTGCTTCACCTTGTACTTTTATGTTATGGAGAGGGCTTACTTCCTTAAACCTTATGAACCAACCTCTCCTGGCATCCAGCTTTTCTCCTGTAGCTTCCTTACCTCACTCAGCCTTCGTAGAATTGAAGAGTTAGGGTCTTGCTATGAATTAGATTTTGACTTAGGGAATGTTATGGCCCATTCGAATCTTCTATCTAGACCACAAAAACTTTCTCCAAATTAGCAATAAGGCTATTTCACTTTCTTCTCACTTGTGTGTAGAATTAATTTCTTTGAAGAATTTTCCTTTTGCATTCACAACTTGATTATTTTTTGTTGCAAGAGACCTAGTTTTCACCCTGTCTCAGCTTTTGACATGCTTTCTTCTCTAAGCTTAATCATTTCTAGCTTTTGGTTTAAAGTGAGTGACTTGTGACTCTTCCTTTCATTTGAACACTTAGAAGCCATTTTAGGGTTTTTGAAGGACTTAATTGTAATATTGTTATGTCTCAGGGAATAGGGAGGCCTAAGGAGAGAATGGGGAAGGACCTGTTGGTGGAACAGGCAGAACACACACACCATTTATCAATTGGGTTCACTATCTTATGTGTTGGTGATTTGTGGCACCCTAAAACAATTACAATAGTAACATCAGAGATCACTGATCACAGATCACCACGACAGATATAATAATAACAAAATAGTTTGAAATATTGCAAGAATTACCAAAATGTGACACAGAGACACAAAGTGAGCACTTGCTGTTGGAAAAATGACACTGATAGACTTGCTTGATGCAGGATTGCCACAAATCTTCAATTGCTAAAAAACACGATACCTGTGAAGCAATAAAGCAAAATACTGCTTACATACCTGATTACGTCTTGATCATAAAAACAACAAATTAGTATGAGGAGTATTTTCAGTGCTAAGAGAATGTTTGTATTTAAATGCTTTGGTATATATTTGAAGTTTTCTCCAGGAGTAGAATAAGCTTACCAGGCACAGTGTCAGGCTCTACCATGATTTATCTGGAATCCATCTACTTGGAAAATGGATATAACTGGAAATATTCTAGTCTCTATAAGATGATTGAAGTTCATAAAGATCACTGAGAGAGCGTTATACTTAGCAGAGTGCTTTTACATCATTAACGAAAGATTAAAATATGTTCAATTTGACTTAAAATGTTCATTTTACTGCCTTACACCCAAGTCGTGTCATGGTTCTGGGTGACTGATCCACCAGCACCCTTCTTCCCAGCTCGTGTTCTTTGCGTTTACCCTACTTTATCCACTTGCCTTTGTGGCCACATCCTAGAGCTTATCATTTCCTGAACAGCTTCTCCCATGATGAAATCACTGTTGGGGTCCCTCTCTGACTACAGCCTTTCACACTCTGTCTCTTGGAAGTACTTGGACTTTTTCAAGGCCTCCAGGCTGGGGATGCTTTGGCTTTCTCCCTTCCTTCCATCCCTTTCCTGCCTTCTCTTCCTTCCTAACCATTCAGCCCACAGTGTCTGTGACTTCAGCTAGGCCTTGTCAATATCCTCCACTCCTTCTGTCGCCACTGTTTTTCTGGCACACCCTCCTGGAAATCCTGCAACCTGCAGCAAGCCAGCTGCCCCCTCCTCCACGCATGATTGGGCTTCCCAGGGCTGCAGGAGAAAACCTCCCAGCTATTCAGCCCTGTGCCACCAAAAATTCATGACCTTCATTCTTAGCCAGGCTGTTAACAGTCCTCTTCTTTGTTATTTCTTAACCTATATTTCTCTCCTTGTTTCACAGTTTTGCCCCACCCAGGCAGATATTTGTTAACAGTGCCTATCTAATCATCGCACGCTCCCCCTGTTGTTAGTACGTAATCCATCATGGCCCTTCATTGGCCTGAGAATAAAATCCAAAGACTTTAACTTGATCTGTAAGGCTCACCATGGCCCAGTTCCAGCTTAGCTCCTCAGATTCCTCTGTTACCCCTTTCCCTGTCACACATTATTTGCTAACTATTTTGAGCTGTATTTAGTTTCTGATAAGCATGTGCTTTCTCATGTCCAGGGATTTGCTGTCCTTTTATCTGAAACACCTTGTGGGTCCCTGGCCCCCTCCTCCTTCACCTGAATATTTTTTTGTCCTCCTCCAGATCTGAGCATAGACGTATTATGTACCAAAGAGCGTCTCCAACCTCTCTACTCTCTGCCCCTTCCCTCCACCAGAAAATAAGCTAAGCGCCTCTACTTTGCCCTCCCTTTCTTCGTGTTAGTAGTTCTCCTCCCATATTGCCCATTTATTTGTCTGTTTCTCATAATAGACCACTGGCTTTATGAGGGCAGGGGCAGCTTTTGTTTTTGATTGTGATTGTATGCCTAGTACCCAGTGATGGGTCTTGGTATTCTGTAGACCTTTAATAAAAATGTTTTGAATTAATGAATGATTTCACAAACTATTTGTTAAGTGATCGCTATATGATAACTACAACAGCATCAGCTGACATTTGTTGAGACTTTACTATGCACCAGGGATTGTTATAATAACTTTACAGGTATTATATTTTTCTTTCTCACAATAACCCTAATGGGATAGGTTGTCTTATTTTGTGAGTTCTGTGAATAATGAAATTTTGGGGTGGTGGGCCTCACTTTTAATGACTGCTTTGTCCTTCCTCTGCATATGTGGGCAAGAACTTTGTGACGTTCCTAGGAGGAGGATGGGGTTTGGGAGGAGCCGCACGTGTTCTCTGCCCTAGAAGAATCATAGCCCAGGGGATGAGAGAGTAAAAGGAAGAACTATTCCAATATGAAATGATCAATTTCCTAATGGACATTTGATTAGGGCATTATGGAAGTACAGAAGAGATTTTTTTACTTTAATTCTTTGAAAATCAGCAATTTATATTTGGTACATACATAATCTAATAATTCAAGTAGAACACAATATTTTCTAACTATTCCAACAAAATCTAATGTTATAAAACAATAACGTAGAGACTATTTATATTGCCAAATATCTTTTACTTAACAAAGGAAACTTAAATAAAGGGGTTTGTTGTTAAGTTCCTATAGATTTTCAGCTCCTTAGTGCTCAAAAAGTAGAATTACATTTGCTAAAATTGAAGTGACACTCATCTTTGTTTACAAAAAGACATTTTACAAAATATATTTCTATGTGCAATTCAAAAAACTTGGTTTGTAAAATCTGTTGTTTTGTTGATCTTTCAGAAGAATCATGAAAAGAGTGTCCGTGGAGCCATCTGAGCGCCTAGCTAGTCTCCAGGCTCTGTGGGACAGCCAGACCGTGGCCGAGCAGGGACCCTGTGGTGAGTGTGCATTTTAAGACCAAAATGTAAAATGGCTGGATGGACATCCCTGTGCCAGGAACTTAAATCTATTCCTAGTATACTACTGTAAAGGTACAATTAGTTTTAAGGTGTAATTAGCAGTGCACTGACTTTAGATTTGGTGGACAAAGTCCTATATTTAAGCTATATTACATCCTGCTATGTACTTACTATAGAACAGGGAGGAGAATCTTTGCTGTTTTCCCCCCAAAAGGGAAAAGGATAATCAACACTGTCAACACTGGCCATATTTAAGCTTTTAAATTTTAATTTAAAAATCATTTTGCCAAAAACACGTCAACGTTTCTGTTGTATATTTCAGGTGGATTTTCTCAGATGTATGCCTGTGCTTGTGACTGGCTTGGATTTTCATACAGGGAAGAAGTACAATGGGTAAATATATCTGTGTACACGTATATGTGCGCGCATGCCCACACACACACACACACACACTCTCTGTCTCTCTCTCTGTCTCTCTCTCTCTCTCTCTCTCCTAGAGAATACTCTAATATTTGGCTGGCTAATTTTTCCCCCCCCCATTTTTTTTTTTTTTTTTTTTGCTTAAAATCTTTGTTTCTCAAATTACATAAAAAGTCTGCCTTTGTCATTGTTTAATTCTTTTTGCATCTGTCTTAACTTCCTTGATCATCTACATGGACTAATTACATGACTGAATTATATTTCAAATAGGATGTGGATACAATTTATCTGACACAAGACACCAGGGAATTGAATTTACAAGATTTTAGTCATCTTGACCACAGGTAAGCCGCTTCTTTCTTTCTTTCCTTTCTGCTAATCCAAATTTGTTTTTCAGAGCTGCAGTTCTCTGTTGGCACTTTAAGTTGTACATTATTTCCAGAGAATCATTTTATAAGGGGAATCAGAAGAATCTAAGAATCTCTAGATATTGCCTTTCAAGTAATAGTTTCAAATATATTCATCACTACAGATGGCTTGTCAAGGTGCACGTGTGTACCTAAAATCCAGTATGTGCTGAATTTCACCATAGAAGCAGCTCTTATACCACCCTACAAAAGTCTATTTACTCTACCCTCTATATGAAATGTTGTATTGTTTTACCTAATTGCCATTTATAACATTTTTGGGGGGTGAAATTTTTTACTGAAATCCTAACAAATGACTTTTAGTTCACAATTTATTTATGAATTGGGCATTGCTAAGATATATATGCATATATTGGTGAAAATTGCTTTGCCAGTATCTGCCTTTTGATAGTGATAATGAAGTCATGAAACCTGTTACAAGTTACTTGAGAAATTTTTAGGTTTTAAGATTTTCACTTGAATATATTTAGGGCTGTTGCTTGTGTGATCAAAGCTCCAGAGAAAAGCTTCATTTGGGTTCTGCATCTCTTAGCAAGAGCAGACCTGGAAAATTTATTTAGCTCCTAACAAAGTCGAGCCTTGACTCCCTTCCACTATGTCTTTTCTGATAATATTTATCCTGGACTATCTCAATCTCTTCAGTCCTAGATATGCTGCTGCTACTTGTAGATGGGCAGATACCAGTCCCACTGTGACAAATCCCAGCTCAATAAATCTTTTTACTCTGTTTGGAATTGAAAGGGAAATCTGGGATTCCAGCAGTACCTTTTGTGCCATTTGGACAACTGGAATGTCATAGAGGGTTGTTGTTGCCCATACCTCATCTTAGCCCCAGCATTTTGCCCCCAAAAACACCATTTCAAATTACTTTTCCACTTATCTATCAGGAAATCCAGAATTGTAGTGGGGTCCCTGAAAAGTTCTAGCCAATTGAATTGGGCAAGGAAACAGTATACTAGATGGGTATGCCTCCTCTTTGCACAGTCCGGGTCGAGAGAGGCTGGTGAAGCAGGCTCAGCTGTGTCTGTAGTTGTGGCTACTATGCCTCGAGCCTCCAGTTCTTAAGGTTGGATTTTCTTCCTTTTTGTGGGAGCAGGCAATTTTCTCCTGCTTAAACCTATTCTCCTTCCAATATGTGAGGGACTTCATACTCTCAAATTTAGGCAAGATGATTCCTGTGTGGTTCATAAAAAAGTAAACTGAGGAAAAAAAGGGAAATATTTTACTTTATATGTATTTTCCAGTAAAACAAGAAAATAGCCTGTAGAATAAGATAGGAAAAGTACATAGACCTGTATTATCTGGTCTCAGTGTTTTTTGTCCCAGAACCCCTGTGCATTCAATCGATTGATCTTTTGTTTATATGGGTCATTTCTGTTGGTATTTACCGTATTAGAAATTCAAATTCAAATTCAAAGCATTTATTAATTAAAAACATAGCATTCATAAACATTGCATGCTGACGTAGTTACCATTTTAATGAAAAATAACAATTTTCCAAAACAAAAATAAATCAGCAAGAAGCGTGACATCACTTTAACTTTTTGTGACTCTCTTTAATGTTTGACTTAATAGAAGATAATTGAATTCTTATATCTACTTCTGCATTCAATCTGCTGTGACATGTTGTTTTGAGTGAAGTGTGTAAAGAAAATCTAGCTTTACATAGATGTGTAGTTAGAAAAAGGAACATTTTTAATAGCCTTTTCAGATAATTGTGGATATTCTTTGATACTTCATGGCAACTCAGCAATGATAATTTCTTAAGGATTAGTTGTAATGTAGAATTGGAAAGCATATCAATGAACTTTTTTGTATTTTGTTATATTAAAATCCATTTAGTCTGTCTTGTGCTTTGAATGGGTCTTATCCATACATGATTTTGTAGCATTGTGCATTGGTAATTTAGAAAATAATGGTTAACTGAGTTATACATAGTCTCCAAATATTTGCTGTTGTATAGGAGGAAAAAAAAAAAAAGACATTTGTTAACTATCAAACTGATTTTATCAGAATAGTGTTAAATAGAGCAAAGCTATCCAGCTCATAGTAGCAGATAAAAGTTTTCTATAATTCAAATTTTTGCTTGAAAGTGGTAATCTTACTATTGGTAAAAAGTACTATTGGGTGATTTTCTTGAAGTGACTAGCTCACTTCTTACATTTTAGAGGGAATGTCTACCTAATCCCAAACCTGAATAACCATACTCTGTCATTTTTTTATGTTATTCCATGAAAAAAAACAAGTTCTGCTTACAACTGCAACTATCACAAATACTTTACATTGAGACAAGTTTCACCTTGGTATATAGAGGAAGCATTTTGTACGTATTTTCCATTTTGTTATACAGAATATTAAAACATATATACTCAGAGGCCAAGATTTAATAAAATGAGTAGTTTTTACCGATTCATCAAGGACATTCCAGAATGAAATTGACATTTGTTTAAAAAAAAACAAACAGTATATGGCAGTGAAGACTGCTGCCTTGGTTTGTGCTCAGGGGCCAGCAGGTTCCCCCACCATTGCTTTTGCCCTTTTCATGCAAAGGTTAACACAGTGAAAGGACAAATTTGTTTTAGTGTTGTTATGAAAATAGTTTTGATCTTGTGAACCCCTGAGTGGATTTCAGGGTTCCCCAAGAGTCCATGGACCATGCTTGGAGAACATCTGGCCAATAGGAGTGAAGGCACTGTAGGGCAGCTTGAGGCGTTTTTTATATGTGGTTTGTTACACCTTTAATGGTTTTTATACCATTAATATTAATAGTTTATGTATGGAGTGAGGGCTAAACTTCCAGCTGATCCACTGTGCTTCATTTGATCATTAATCTGTTGGCAAAGGGAAACTATTATTTAAAGAAGCCACGAAATATGAGCATAGTATCCAAAATCGAGAGACTTTTGTCAAAACTTTCAGAATTTTCTTGCAAGTGAATTTACTAATTCCTTAGCTGGAGAATTTTCAGTTCGTCAGTAAACACCGCATTAATGGGATAGACCAAAATCATCTACTTTTCTTGCTTGATAAGGGGCTAAAAGGAATTTTTTCATTATTGAGATTCTAGACCAGGAGTAGGAAAATTTTGTCAAGGGCTAGATAGTAAATATTTTAGATTTTTATGAGCCAGACAGTTGTTGTTGCAATTATACAACTCTACTGTAGTAGCTTGAAAACAGCCCTGGAAGAAGTGTGAATGAGTGAGTGAGGCTGTATTTCAATATTTGCACAAATAGGCATTGTGGGCTGTAGTTTGCCAACCTTGCTATAGATCAGTGTCCTCTAAAGTGGAGTGTGTATACCCAAGGGAAAATCTAAGATGAGTTGCAAAAAAGCGTTAGAACTTATTGACTCATTTTAAAATTTCTTTGTTTTATAATATGTATAAATATTACTAGTATTTAGACTGTAATAAATGAATATTAAAAATTAGGTGATTCTTTAAAAAAATTTTTTTTTTTACTATAATGGGCTCGATCTATAAAATAATAGGGATCACAGATCTAGATAACATCTGTCTTACTAATGCCTAAATACCTTGACTTTTTCTCAAAGCTGTGTCTAATTACTTTAATCTTCCACGTTACCCCTCCCCCCTTTTTTTTCAATTTTTGGAGACAGTCTTGCTCTATTGTTCTTGGTAGAATGCAGTAGTGTCATCTGAGCTCACTGCAACCTCAAAGTCCTAGGCTCAAGCAATCCTCTTGCCTCAGCCTCCCAAGTAGCTGTGACTATGGGCACACACCATGACACCTGGCTAATATTTCTGTTTTTAGTAGAGATGGGGTCTTACTCTTGCTCAGGCTGGTCTCCAACTCCTGAGCTCAAGCAATCCTCTCTCCTTGGCTTCCCAGAGTGCGTGAGCCACCATGCCTGACCATGTTTATCCCCTCTTTCTTGATAATTTAATTTTTTCCTGTGATTCTTCCTATTAAAATTAGAGCCAGGTTCTACAGAAAAAGGCTATTCTCAGTTCTCTTAGATGGCCTTTTTAAATAGTATTTTGCTAATCGATTCACAGCATGTTATTGGGTGAATGTTTCTATGCAGTAGAAATGTGAACATGCTTATCCACGAAGGAATCGGTCTGTACTTAAGTAGTACAGTTGTCTGGGAGGATTCATTGTGGCATAACGTGAGCATGATGTAGGTCACTTTCTAAATCTGAGAGGTTTTTACAAAATTTTTCCAATACTTCTTCTGGTATTCTTCTTATTCGGGTGTGAGTAATAGCAAAGAGAATGGAGGGATTAGACAAATTCGAGGTGTAAGAAGAGACATTATAAATGGGTTATGCATTGAGCTCGAGTTACTTAATAGTGAGCAGATACGGGCAACAATTCTTGTACATGTACATGAATGTTCCCACTATGGCAGTAGTTTTCCATGTTATCCCTATTTGAACATAATTCAGATACAAGAAAGTAATCTTGTTTACCATTTGCATTTATTAAAATAATACTCTGCATGCATTTATATGTAGATATCTGAACTTGATATTAACAGCCAAACTTCCTTCTAGAAGGCCATACCCATTTCATAGGATTAAAAAGAACACTCTCCTGGTTGGCAGTCATTCGAAGCTTTACTTTTTCATTTCACTTTTTCCTGCCATTGTATTTAGTCATCATAGTTAGAAATGTTCATTCTTAATAGCCGTAAAAAGCCATTAGTGCCATGGGAAGGGAAATTCAATGAGGACTGGGCTGTGTCTGTCATGTTCATGCTCTGTGATGCGATACTCTCAGTCAAACCATTGTCCCAAAATAAAGGATTGTCAAGGGAAACTGATCTGCTCTAGGGGAGCAAATCAGAGTACTGGGAGGTTGAGGGATTATTTTGAGAAAGCCCATCAGATTACTGGAATACTTTCTCCCCCGTACTCAGGCTGGCAATTATTGCTTTAATGGCATTCT